GTTAAAAATAAATAAATAAATTGATGGCATTCTAAAACTGCTTTCTATGGCTTCCTGTAACAAATTAAAGTCTGTTCAGATCATCTAAAAATCGGGGTGCTCTTTAACCCTCATGGTACTTTGCTGAGCCTTGTCAGAGGAAGAGAGACCTATTCTTGACTCACTCTGATTTTTTTCAATTGATGGACTAATGCTTACCGCACAGCTGCTAGAAGACATACAGGGGCAGCTGTGGTCAGAGCACCGGTACGGTGCCTCATGCAACTCTACTGGGTTTTTCTTCCCTATGTCGTTGTCATTTCTCCTGAGTGTGGGGAGGGGTCATCTGTACTTTGATACTGAATTTGCTCTTTGAGCTGCTGTCCAGGGCACCCCAGGACTGACTTCTAATAGGAAGGCTTGAACAGATCAACCCTAAAGTGGTACACAATGTGTGTGTCTCTTTTGTAATTGCTCTAACTAAAGTTACTGTTTTCCAAAGTCTTAGGCTTGTAGGGTGACAACTAGATCCATGCCAGGTGTGGCTGTGCCCGCCAGTGCAGGGCCAAGGCAGCCCCTGTGCGCCAGGGGAAACACCGTCTGCAGGCTGTGGACCTGGGCCTGTGGCTCCTTAGGGTCACCTCCCCTTTGCAGCCAGGGGACCTCAGTGTCTGCTGACCCAGGCAAGTTGGCTTCTCTGAGTTCTGCCTCAGCCAGGCAATAACACATACCCCATGGACCTGCCTGCCCTGCACCCCCACATTGGTGCTTTCTTCTGCTTTCCCAGCAGGAAGGGCCAGCCTACCTAAGTGACCTGCGCCCCGGGCCAGCAGAGGCTCCCCTCTCAGACTGAGGAGCCTGTGGCCACTGGCATCCAGCTTCCTGCCCTCCCTGCTTCCCCAGGGTCCCTCCGGAGCACTCCTGGGCTTTCTGCCCACCTCAGGGAGCCCCCAGGCTCCTCAAGCCATCCTCTCTCTCTGCCTGCTCCTGGTGCAAACCGTTTTCTCCCGCCTGCCTTTTCCCATGCGAGATGGGGGTGTGGCGTGGGGCCGGCGGCCCCTACTCCCGAGGCTGAGGGTGGCCCTGGGCCTGCGGCTTGAAAGACGGGAGCGGGGGAGGGAAGCCGCTGGCCAAGGCACGTCTGGAGTGCAGGGCACTCTGGGTGTGTGGGGGGCACTAGCGGCAGGGAGAGGCTCCAGCTCCTGCTCCTCCATCAGCCCCTCTTCCCAGT